ATATATATATATATATTACAGTATAAATTTTATTAAATTTTTTTATAATATATTATAAACACACACACACACACACACACATTTTACACAAACAATTTGAAACACACACAGAAATGTTTAGACAAATGAAATTTTCTCTCTCTTTTTGTTAAGTCTAACTGTTCATTTTTGTTTCGGTTTTCGCTGAAACTTCGCCGTTGCCCCCATGTTCATCCCATGGTATCGTCAGCATCCTTCTCTAGACCAACATTCCTGTTGCTTAAAGTCTCTTCCTCATCTTTGAGGAGATTGTCCATCATTCATTGCCATATAGGAGGAGCGATATCGCATAAGAGTCCAATACTCTTTTCTTTGTTTCCAGCGAGATTTTTTTCTTTCTTGATACTTTGCTTAGTTTCTGGCAGGCATATTTTGTTATCCCAATGTGCCTTCGGAGTTCGGTGTCACACATTCCATCCTCAGCTAAAACACTTCCCAGATATTTAACATCTCCAGTTTGTAATTTCCATGCTGGGATGTTTCTTTTTGCTGACAACCATGGATTCTGTCTTCTTGCAATTGATGATTAGTCTTTTCTTCGGTCTTTCCTTCTCTGCCTTCTGTAGATGTTTCTGTGGCGTTCTTTCTGTGTTTATTATTAACACTATGACATCCGTACGATGGAGTAATGTATAGCGAGTCGGATTGAGGAATCAAGTTAGAATTCCAGTCGAATCCATTACATTCACTTCTGTGCTAATAAACTCTTTTTCTTAGCAGGACAGATTCTATAGCCTTGGGTGGAAACAGGTCTACCGCAGAAAGAAATGGAAATATACTGCGGGCCAAAAATTTGCCTCGTTTGTCATGTATCGAAAGATACATGATCGACTAAGTGTGTATCACAAAAATGACTGTGCCATCAGCATATGTAATGTTGTTAAGGTTTGTGGACGCCAATAATGAATCCTGGTAGGAATTCTAATCAGATATCATTGGAGACGAATCTTTCGAAAACGTGAGCAGCAGGAAACATGACAGAATAAAGCGGTAGCCAAGAATATTATTCGGGAATAATTCGTGACGATTCCAGAAATGAGATTTTATGTTCAAGAACAAAATTAATGCTCTGGAAGATTCCATAACATAAAGACTATCGTGTTGGAATAACTTTTGACATTGCAAATTAAAGAAGACAAAAAGTAAAGAAAAAAATAGATTTCAATCATTCAATTCCTGCGACTGTATATTCTCGTGGGGGATTGGGGGCTACAAGGAAATTTATTTTGGTTTGGGTTGAGGTTACTATGCCCTAAGCTTTACTAATGTAGCTAATGTCGATTTGTTTTTATTATAGTTGCGCCCATAGGCAACAATTTTCCGTGTTCATTCTTACCACGAGTCAGAGTGGACCTGGGGCAACAGCAATTAAGAGGTTGTTCCACAATGGCCCTGTACATACGTACGTAACCACTGATTATTTATACTCGAGTCTATCCTTAAACGTAGACCGTGTTTATACTTGCATTTACAGGTAGAAACCGGTCATGTTATGAAATTGATTCTATAGAAAACACTAGTTATGTTTACCTTTGAGTATATGGGTAAACAATGGTCCTTAGACTCAAAGTAAATAATGGTGGACAGGTAGATAATTGACAATTTGGGGGATAAGTATGTTCACTGAGAGTGAGAACTAAGTCAAAAAACATTCAGAAAGAAAGAGATCAATTTTTGGATGCATAAGATGAAAGAAGGCTTAGAGAATTTAAGGCACACAGGGCAACTTGTAGGCCAGTGAAGAGTCAGAATAAATGAGATCGAAACAATCCCATATGGATTGGATAGACGCATAAAAAGATAAGATAGGTTGTTTGGAGAGCCATGTCCTGAATGAATACGGCAGAGAGAGAGAGAGAGAGAGAGAGAGAGAGAGAGAGTTATGTACCAGTGTTCTTAAGAAAAATAGCCCTGGGGATACTAATAACACCGCGACAACACCTTCCTTGCATTAAGATAAGTTGTATCGGTGTAATGCCGGTGACAATGGTCGCAGGTATTATTATATTGAAACAAGTTTTGTCCTTGCAAAAAGAAAAGCATACGTATGAGGATGGTCCTACCCCCTTTAAAACGATTTGTGCCACGTCAGCCTTGGTAAGTAGAAACTTTAAATATATAACTAAAAAAAAAAAAAGTTTAATCAGATAATTTTTTTCTTTTCTTTAAATTTTAAATATTTTTTTTTTCTTTACCTGATTTTTTTCTTTTAAAAATAAATTTTTTTTTAAATTTGCATCTATCTTCATAACTGTCGAACAAGTTGACCCCAGTTTTGAACCGCGGTCTTTCATTTGTCCCCAGTTTTTATTTTATTTTTGTTTATTTATTTTTTATCATGTGTCTCAACAGGAAATCTGACAAGTGGTATACAAAAGTATCCTATATAATATTTTAGGGGACTATTATTATGGAATATTGCGATAAAAACTGACGTGGGGAGGAAGATATAAAATTCAACGCAACTTATTATTAAGTTAGAGAGATAAATAAGAAAAAGAGAGAGAACAAGAGAGAGAGGCGGATAGTAGACAGTGTTTGCTCGTATATTTCACGCTTTCTTAACATGCTCTATAGATTGCGTTTGTTATAAATTCTGATCCGATTCTTTTTTAATTTGTTAAGTCATTGTTTAAAAAATTTTTTTTCCATGAAAGTCTCAAATTTGAATCATTACTAGATTTTTTTTAGGTTTTCCTCTTTTTAGAAAAAAAATAAAAAAAAAAAAAATAAATTTGTATTAATCGAATCGGCTTTTTTTTTCCTACTAACATCTTCCGTTTTTAAATTTAGACACCCCCACTTTACCCTGACTTGACATCTATGAATGTAACTCTATACTGATACAAATTATTAACACTTAACACCCCTCCCTATTTAAACAATCGCTCTGGCTGTTACCATGGAAATTTTGATTTCAATAATGAATATGCTATTAAAACACGTAAATTTCAGAAATAAGTTATTCCAAAAAAAAAAATTTCGCTTGAAGATGGAACAGAGCTTACTTTAATTCAATTTAATTCAAATAATTATATTGAAGTTTTCGGCTCTTGTTTTGAAACATGAGACCTCTTATGTAGCGTGTTGGAATCATATTTTTAAATAAATAATTATATATATATATATATATATTTGTATAGTGTGTGTCTGTTAAAAATGTTACAAAAGAGAGAGAGATAGAGAGAGAAAAGATAAAGAACAGTTAGAAAAATTTAATCAATCTAACATGTTTCACTTTTATTAAAGCTTCACCAGAGAATGAGATATGATGAAAAAGAATAAGTAAGCTCTGGTATTAGTTTTTGTGTTGTCTGATCTTCATGGATTAATCCTGTTTCAAGTGAATTAAACTTGCTTAATCAACGTTAGTATAATTTGTGGCGTTCAGAATTCAAGTTGAGGCGATGCGTCCTTTTGTAGTTTCGATTCCAAACCTAAAAAAAAAAAACATAAATGTTGCAATATGTATGACGTCGTCCGTCTCGAGAGACGATCGAGTAGCGCAGTGCGCTACGAGCCTGGGCGGGATATATGGAGAACTAGGGCTGCCCAGACGTCTAGTTATGATGAATTTATTTTGCTAGCAGAGTCCAAAGGAGAGGATAAACCAATACAGTTTGGTACCAGCGTGGCTGCAGGAGTTGCTGAAAGGTAGCACAAAGTGCCGTCCATCCGCCTTAGGGACCTCACTCCGGGTTTGAATTCAGAGTTGTCCTTCTCCTAGACCAGTTGCCATCCAAGGCTACAGAAACCAGTCTTGTCCTGGAGCGAGAAGACTAGGATTCACAACTTTCCCAGGTGTATTAGCACGTAAGTGAATGTAATGGATTCGACTGGAATTCGAACTCGACTCTCCGATTCCTGAATCCAAGCCGCTATCTATTACTGTATGTAAGTGTTTAATATTTCTAGTTTGTCAATATGGGCCTTTGGAGATATATTTATATACGGACTCCTCATCCAAGAAATTCCGGCAAAAATAGATATTATTTATGTAAGAGTTACATAGTTTACATAGGGGACTTCCTTCAGTGCGGGATAATTTTCGTTTTTCTCTTTCCTTTATGTAGTCCGAGTTCAGCCAATGTCCAAACGTATCTCTACCAGTTTTAGGTTCGTTGTTTGTTTTTGTTTAGCGGCATATCAACATCTACGGTTTGGTTTGGTTTGTTTTGTATTACACCATATCAACCACAATGGGTTATTTAATGACAACAAAATTTACTCTTTTTTTTCGAAGATATATACCTGCTAATATTTTTTTAAAATATATATATATATATATATAGTTTGTTTTGTTTTGTGGTATATTAACCTCAATGGTTTATTTAATGCTGACAAGATTTTTATTTCTGGTAATATTTTCTTTTTTCAAATATTTATTGCTGATACTAATTTTTTTTTTAAAGTATTTCTGGTATTAAAATCTCTTTTTACCCTTTCATAGTGTTTTGAGTCAGGTTGTGGGGTCAACTATTTTCCCATAGCTGGGACCCTAACAGGTGCTGCCACTCCGTGTCAGTGTGGACCCGGGAACACCAGCAATTAAGAGGTGGTTCTACGCTCCTCAAAACCTCAGAGGCCTTGCTGTTGGACGTAGTTTATCGTCTTACCCAGGATGCGGATGTAGTTTATCGTCTTACCCAGGATGCGGATGTAGTTTATCGTCTTACCCAGGATGCGGATGTAGTTTATCGTCACACCCAGGACGCTCAACATCTACCGGTTATTTATTGCAGAAATTTAAATATTTTTACGCAATTTTTATTTAATTAATTTTTTAGATACTAATGGTTTATTGGTACAAGTCTTACTATTTAACCCATAGTTGGGGGACTCATACATTTTCCAAGAAAAATTGCGCGTAAGTGAATATAATGAACTTGACTGGAATTGGAACTCGGCTCTCCCATTAAAAATTCCGAGCCATTATACATTATAAAACCCACACATCCAAGCTTACAGCACCTGGTAATTCCAAGCGATCACCTATGTAGATACTGACCAGGATCACCGTTGCTTAACTTCGGTGATGGTACGGGAACCGGTGTTTCAACGAGATACTGCCGTAAGCCACTCATACCAACCGCACACATCCAAACTTACAACACCTGGTATTCCCAAGCGATCGCCCATCTAGTTAGTGGCGGGTATCAACGTTGCTTAACTTAGGTGGTCGTCCGGGAAACGGTGTTTCAACGACATATAGCCGTATGCTATTTATATCAACCATACACATCCAATCTTACAGTACCCGGTATTTTCAAGCGATCACCCATCCAGGTAGTGACCAGGATCAACATTGCTTAACTTCGGTGATTGTACGTGAACCCGTGCTTCAACGAGATACCTCCGTAAGTCCCTTATACCAATCGCACACATACAAAATTACAACACCTGGTATTCCCTAGCGGTTACCCATGTAGGTAGTGACGGCGATCAACGTCGCTTAATTTCGTTGATCGTACGGGTACTGGTCTTTGAATGAGATATGGCCTTAACTCCTTCATATCAACCGTACGCATCCAAGCTTACAGTACCTGGTATTCCCAAGCGATTCAGGTATTGACAGGATCAATGTTGCTTAGCTTCGGTGAAGGTACGAGAACCCGTGTTTCAACGAGATACGACCGTAAGCCCCTTAGAGCAACGCCAGAGTTCCAAGCTTACAGCACCTGTTATTCCCAAGCGATCGCCTATCTAGGTAAGGAAAAGGATCGTTGATCGTACGTGAACCGCTGTTTCAACGAGATATGACCATTAGCATGAAGAAGTATAGGTAGTAAAACTATTGTGTTGGTTGAATGTTTGGTTGTTAATCTTAAGCGGCATATTAACCTCCATGGATTATTTAATGCCGAAATCAGTCTTAATATTTTTACGTTTAATTTATTTCTCCACAACAGATATTTTCTTTATCATTTTATACGTTCTTGGCAAACGTATGTTTTTTTAGATATATAATTTATAGCTGAGAAAATGGCAATATTTTATAAAAAAAAAAAAGTATTGCTGGTAATTTTACTATAAAATATACTTTTATACATTTTAATGTTGTTTTGATTGTCATTTTGCTTTGAAATGTATTGGTAATCATTTTACAATAAAAAATGTATTATTCGTTATTTTAGTAATTTAATTTATTGTTGGTCATTTTATTATAAAAATGAACTGTTGATAATTTTACTGTAAAAATTAGTAATTTTCTAATAAAAGGTACAGTTTACTTTTGTTTTGAGTGTTCACTATTTGCCCATACCTGAGATCTTAACAGATGCTACCACTCCAGTTCAGGTTGAACCTGGGAACAACAGCAGTTAAAAGGTGATTCATGTCTCTTTAAAACCTCCGATCTCCCCATTATCAGACTTGATGCCGGGTGAAGTCTATCGTCATACCCATTCCGGCAGTTTTAAGTAAATATTGCTTGTGTTCACAGTCCCGTCTATAGGTAAACACTGGACGTAATTATACTATAGGTAGAGGCGGTCGTATTTATATTTGAGTCTATAGATAAACACTCGGCGTTTTTATAGTCGATTTCATGCGTAAAGGCCGATGGGGTTTATACATGAGGCTATCGGTAAATACTGGTCTGTTTACTCTTGAGTCTATCGATAAACACAAGCCTTCGTTATAATTTAGTCTATCGGTAAATATTGGTTGTGTCCATACTTAAATCTCCTGGGAAAAAAAAATGAACGTGATTATACTTGAGGCTATAGGTAGATTATCGTCGTGTCTATATTTGTGACTTTTTCATAATGTGTGTTATGTAGTGGTTTCACAGTGGAGCCTTGTATTTGTACTAAGTCGGTTCTAAAATAGGTCCGACGTACAAAACGTTAGGAACTTGATATAAATAGGTAATGACGCAGTAATCTAGTTGGGGTGGCTGATACTTTAGTATCCGACTAATGGTCGTCCGACATCGACTGACTGACCAACGATATTCAGTTACCACCCCCACGAGGGCGTCATGTGGCACAAGGCCTTTTTAACGTGGGCATTCCGAGCCTGTGGGATCGGCCAAAAATATGCCCATTGAACCCGTATAAACGGGTTCAGAGCCGGTTTACCTCCCCGAAAGAGAATCCGCCCTTCGGCGTAGCCTCGTTCGGGTTCCTCCCCGCCCGAAAGCAGAAAGTTCAACCGGTCAGCCGGTTGTCCGACTTCAGACTGAACTCAGACCAACTCTGTGAGCGGTATTTAGTCACCCTCCCCACCACGAGGGCATCATGTGGCACAAGGCCGGTTTAACGTGGGATCTCCCAGCCAGTGGGCTCGGGCAAAAAATATGCCCATTGAACCCGTATAAACGAGTTCGGGGTCGGTTTACCTCCCCAAAAGAGAATCCGCCCTTCGGCGTAGCCTCGTTCGGGTTCCTCCCCGCCCGAAGGCAGAGAGTTCAACCGATCAGCCAGTCGACCGACTAAGCGACTGACATGTTACTCCTACTACTCCTACCTATTATAGGTGGTGGAGTCTATTAACTATAGAATAGGTGTGTTTCACTATAATGTGCCAACGCTTTTATGGAATATAGATGAGATTTTTTTATGCTGTGTCAAGATGTGGCACAGGGCCAGAAGTATGGAGTACCCAGTGAGAATCGATCTCTCGATTCAGCTGTAAGGGATCTAGCAAGATAAGCTTGCCAAACATTACAACACGTCGAAGTTCCCACTTTTATGGAATATATTGTACTTAAATAAATGTAAAAATTCATTGAAATAATGATAATAGTAATTTTAGTAGTGTGATGTCCGCGCGAGTATAAATAGAACCCGCTCGGTTGAGGTGGGAACTCTTCAGTATACAGCAAAAGTCGTTTCCCTATAAGGAAACATTTGACATTCACTGACCGAACAGCCAGTACTGCTTTTGGTTGAAATTTATTTAATCATTCTCTTAATATATATATACATATATATATATATATATATTTTTTTTTTGTGAAAACCGTTTCTCAAGTCCATCAACTGTTATTTTACTATCTTTTAAAAGTAATGGTCTTCAAATTTCGAAAATAACCTTTTCTTTGAAGAGGTTTGCAGTTATTTGATATTTACGTTGTTCGGACTATTTTTAATCCTCATATTCGTTGCCATATTCACGACGTTTCGGTTTTGAAACATCCGGCCTTCTTCAGGTGATTGGAATTTCGAACTGAGCGCTTTATTTCGTCCATCGGGATAGATTGTTCTAGTTCCACATGCCATGCCTCTTCCGGATGTTTCAGAATCAGTTATCCCCCTTTTAATTTAACTCACCAAGGTTTTGTTCACTTCTGCCGTGGCGTGAAATGTTAACATCTTGTTGATGTCATTGTTTTAAATGTCATCTTCATTTCTCTCCCTCATCTTCCATTTCCGAAATCATTCTTCTTCCGTCCTTTTTCTTTCTTTCTTTCTTTCTTTCTTCCTTTCTTTCTTTTTCTTTCTTTCTTTCTTTCTTTCTTTCTTTCTTTCTTTCTCCTCTCAAATTCTACTTTCCTTTTCATAGCATCTTTTCTCTTTCTGTTAAACATAATATTCAGTTGTTTATCTTTCTTTCTTTCTTTCTTTCTTTCTTTCTTTCTTTCAACCTTTCAACCTTTCATATATCATAGTGCATTTTTTTCTTCTTTATATCATGCTTTCTTTGTTTCCTTTTTCAGTCTCACATCATGTCGATTTTCTTTCTTTCTTTCTTTCTTTCTTTCCCTAGTTTTACATCATTTTCTTCTTTCTTTTTTTCTTGCTTTATTTCTCAAACGTCTATATATCATGTCCTTCGTTTTTTATCCTTGTTTTTATCATTATTTTTCTTTCTCATTTATACATTGTAACGTCTTTCTTTTTTTCTTTCTTTCTTTCTATCTTTCTTTCTTTATTTCTTTATTTATTTTCTTTCTTAATGATGGATATCTCATGTATTTCATTCGTTCTTTCTTTCTTTCCCTTCTTACTTTCCCTAGCTTTTAAATCATTTTCTTCTTTCTTTCTTTTTTTTTCTGGCGTTATTTCTCAATCGATTTGTATATCATGTCTTTTTTTCCTTCATTTTTTATCCTAGTTTTTTATCATTGTTTTTTTTAGATTTTTCAATTTTTTTAAATTTAAAATTTATTTCTTTAATTTCTTTCTTTCTTTTTTATTCTTTAAAATAAATTCCGCATTTTTTCTTCTTTCGTTCTTTCTTTTATTTTCGCTATTTTTGTCTTTCTTTCTTTTTTTTTTTCTTTTTTCTTTCTTAATGAGATTTTTTTTTCAATATTTCAAATTTTCTTTCTTCAAAAAATTTATTCTCTTTTCATGTCTTTCTTAATTTCTTCTTCTTTTTTCCTTTTCTTTTTTAAGGAAAAATAAATAAAAATGAAAATTTTCTTCTTTCGTTCTTTCTTTTATTCTCTTGTTTTTTTTTCTTTCTTTCTTTCTTTCTTAATTTTATTTCTTTCTTTCTTTCTTTTTTCTTTTACAATTTTCATGTCTTTCTTTCATTTATTAATTTCTTTTTCTTTCTTTCGTTCTTTGTTTTATTTTTCTTTTTTTCTTTTTTTCTTTCTTTCTTTCTTTCTTTTTTTTTTTTTTTTTTCTTACAGTTTTCGTAAAATTTCTCTTACAAAAATAAATTGCTTTTTTTTCTTCCTTAATTTTTTTTTTTCTTTTTTAAATAAATTTCTTTCTTTCTTTCTTTCTTTTTTTTATTAATAATTTCCCAATTATCTATAATTTCATTTCTTTCTTTTTTAATTTTTTTTTTTTTTCTTTTTTTTCGAAATTATTTTCAAATTTTTCTTCAATCTTTTCTAAATTTTTTTCATTTATTCATATTTTTTTATATATAATTTTTTTTCTTAATGATTTATATATAAAATGTATTTCATTCTTACTTTCTTTCCTTTCTTACTTTCTTTCCTTTCTTACTTTCCCTAGCTTTTAAATTATTTTCTTCTTTCTTTCGTTTTTTTTTCTCATTGTTTTCCTTTTTCTTCCTCATCTATACAACATAACGTCTTTGTTTGTTTCTTTCTTTCTTTCCTTCTTTCCTTCTCTCTTTCTTTCTTTCTTTCTTAGAATCTTTATCTCTTCATTTATTAAAATTTTTTTTTTTAAAATCTTTTTTATGCTATAAAAGTTTTCTTTTTTTTTTTTTTTTTTCAAAATTTCTCTGAAATCTTCTCTTATCTTTCTCATCTAGAAAATATAAAGATGTTGCAATTCGGAACAGAATAGATATTTTGCCTTGAGTCCGGCAAATCAGAGTAATGCGCTGTTATTTTTTATCAGAACCCGATAGAGATCTTCTGTATCGATAATCGTCTCTACCGACACTTACCTACCCACACGGGAAACGCTGTAATTCCGAATTTTGAAAAATTTTTTTTCGGTAGTCGGTTTCATAAGGGCATGGAGAAAATTAATTATATTGTCTAAAGACGGGTTTCTTTCAGTTAATGAGAAAAAAATTGCTTTTTCTTTAAAAAAGCAAAAGTGGGTCAGAATGTTTTTCTATTCTAAATCAAAATGAAATGTCGAAGAACATAAAGTCTGTTTTATTTTTATTTGAAAACTTAATCCAATGAGATTCAATTTAAACACCCTAAGTAAAACCAATATCTTTTGGTGAGTCATTTTATAAGATTCCAAAATGTGTGTGCGCGCGCGTGTTTGATCATTGTGTGTGTTATATGTTGTGTAAAAGAGAGAGTTTGTTTCAAACTAAGCAATGTCAATTGTTTTAAATTAGATTTGAATTGATTTCTTATTGATTTTAATAAATTATCAAATTTTAAACTGCACTATACATATCTTTGAACTATTGGTATCCACATTATAAAATTTTAATTCATAAAGCTTCTTTATTCGTGTACTTTTAAAATCCACCAAAATGATAATTTTATATATATATATATATATATATATATATATATATATATATATATATATTAAAAAATATAGTCTTAGGGTTGCTATATTTCAAGGAAGTGCTCAATATCAAAAAATAAAACATTGTGTAAAATAAAAGTGAACATAGAAGTCAGTATTAGAGGCGACAGTCTGTTTCATGCTGAAATATGCATTCTATTTTAAACTTTATGTTCTGGCTATTTATATTTATATATATATATATATATGTGTGTGTGTATATTAAGACATTTTATGATTAGAACATTCTTTTTATAGATACAAATATTTAAAAAAAATATTTCTGTTTATAATAAACAGCATTAAACAACATTTTCATAGAAAATATTTGTCCTCCGACAGGAATTCGAACCTAGCTTGACGTTTTTCGATTTGGCCGTGTTTCGCGTTTAATATCAAGAGTCAAATTTATTGTATTTAAAAAAATCTTCCATGAAGGAAATTCACGTATATTTCATATTAATCATGGCGTATCCAAATAAAAAAATGAATGACGTCAAAAATATAAAAATGGACAAAGTCCGACAATTATTTTAAGACATTTTTATGTTTATCTTATTCTTTTTATAGATACAAATAAAAAAATAAAAAATCTGTTTATATATATATATATATATATATGTTACTAAATTCTAAGGTTTCTGAAAAATTTAATTTTTAAATTTTTTAGTTTGTTAAATTATGCACAACCTCCAACTTGGCAAATTATTTTTTTTGATTTCAAATTGTATTTCTAAAGGAAAAACCAGTTGCCAAACAAAGCTATAGAAAAAAGTCTGTCCTCCTTTTACCCATAGCTGGAGGAGGAAATTTGGAAAATACCTTTCCCAAGGGTTTTAGTTCATTTTCAAGTTAAAAAGATTCTTTATTGGAATTGAATGGGCTCATTGATTCTTCAAATTTTGAGCTATTTGATCTTTTTCAGCTTTAAAATTTAATTAGTATAATAAATATAGAAAGGAAATTCTTGGTGATTTTTTAAAGTAATTTCCATTATGGGATTGCAGTTGTTGACGGTTTTCTCATATCTATAGCATTTTTTCTCCAAGCGCGTTATAAAAGATATATAAATTATGCGGCAGAAATTTTCACTTATATATATCTGAAATAATAATAATGTAATAATGTCATGTTTTTTAGTTTTGTTTTTTTTTTTTTGTTGTTTTTTAAGCGTTTCACCCCAAGCAAGGCGGAAGCCACTAGGACGCAAGGGGTTACAGAAAATTTAGAGCAAGATCAGATAGGAGTGATAGAAGAAAGGATGAGGAGAAGGGTAGTGGATAGATCAAGGCAACTGGAGATGTCGATTGACATTACACTTGAATAGCTGGAGATTATAGCTCTCAGGGAAACTGGACTAGGGAATGGAGTTGCACAGGCAAGAGGTGCGAGACATGAAGCTATTGGATTAGAAGAGACGGCTACATTTAGGAGTTTTCTCAGTGAAGGGGTGAGAGCAGGGGATGCCAGCCTCGTAGGGCGCTTGAATTCATGAAGTCTGGGAACCAGCGAATGCAGCTCCTCGGAGCAATTACCATGAAAGTATTTGTAAAACAGACAGAGAGAGGCGACGGCGCGTCTGTGAGAAAGTGACTGTAGACGAGATGCCAGAACAGGGCCAATTATATTGCATATCCGCCTCTGGGGCCTATCAAGAACCCGAGGCAAACAGAAGGGCTCCAGACCATATATGGCAGCAATACTCCATGCAAGGGCGAATGGTTGATTTGTAGATTTGAAGGATCGATTCCGGAGAGAAAAATTTCCTGGCGCGGCACAGGGAGCCAACTTTCCTTGTGGTGGACGAAGCAATTGACTCAATGTATTTGTTCCATCTCAGGTCAGTAGACAACGTGAGACCGAGCAGCCTATTTCTCTTTTCAATGCAATCTGTGTGTGCCTGGATAACGTATTTTGTTTGCCGAGGGTATTTGAACTCGTAAACGATGGGTGAAGGGTAGTATTACGGTTATCAGTCGGGAACGTAGAACCTGGCATTGTATTGGGGGGGGGAGATATGCAAATGGCACTGTATCTCTCTCTCTCTCTCTCTTTCTCTCTCTCTCTCTCTCATAGGCGGGATGTGGCGAAACTTATCAGTGCTATATCGCTACTACTATGAAAAGTGTTCGGACAAACTGGATCTCCTGGTTCTTCATTCACGGCTAGAACCCGCCATGCCACTTACATAGTAACAAACCAGCCACATTCCCTCGGTGCGAAGTAAGCGGCACTTAAACAGCTTCTTTCCGCGAACCACTTCCCTATGGAGCAGACTCCCAAGAGGATGTTTCCCCGATCACTATAATCTTAACTTGTTCAAGCTAACCGTTATTTTCCCACCTATGCATATAAATTACCCCATTAACGTAACCCTCGAGTGTCCTCTCTGCCTTGTACGGGCCGAACTTTAAAAACAAACTTCTACACAAGTGCAGAAAAGTGTTTGAATTTTGCATTTTACTTGGCTTTCAAAAGTTGGCATCTATTTGTAAAACTTTCCTTAACTATAACAAGCCAATTTATGAATGAAATGCTCATTTAAAATTTTTGTTTCAAAGATTTCAAATAGTGAAATATTTTAGTTTGCGAAGCGACAGCGTGCTAGTTCCAAATAGTGACCATAAATGTTGTACTTCTTTTCGGTCTGTGATGAACTGGTCATGAATTAGTCATGTTTTCATGCTGAAATACACTATTCAGTGAGTTTTATTGGGGATAGTGTGGAGGGCTATAAATACATAATTTTTTTCCGATTTCTTTCTTCAAAATCTTTTGGGAGTGTGTCTTATGCATCGGAACGTCTTATTAGTATATGGTGTGTATTTGCCACACAGAGTTTACTAATTATTCTATGTTAGGTAGAATAACGCGTTCTAGCCTTCAGTAGCACACCGATACTAATATTAGCATTAGCGTAGCCATTGATACACTAACACTGAATGCGAATATGAAAAGACGAAATACGCGAGCGTAACCAATGAAACATTTAATGTGGCAAGCAGCGTTCGTAAATATATACACAAGATTTATACATGTCCCAAAACAAATAAATGTCCATATTGTCCCAAAGGAACGAAGAGGTTAAACAGAATTAGTACAATGATATCACCTACCAATTTCATGGCCTTTGGTCGTCCACAGATGAGTGAATGAGTTTGTTGCGTTAGGCCGTACCCATGTTGACCAGTTTCCACGTGTGTGGACGCTCTGGTGGTCAGGAAGGAAAAGAGATCGTTCCTCCCAAAACGTAAGTGACGACAAAAAAAGGCAGAAGAGTTCTACTCACTAAAAGGGGCCACAACTCTCATGGGCTAATGCAAAGGGAAAACACTGTGGTCTCCCTACAGTCTTATATGAAGTACGTTCAGACAGTATACAACTACATTTTTTTCTGCG